GCGCGGACGCGGCGACGTCGCGCATCCTACTCGAGTATACACGTGAGTAACCCGCGATTTTTAGTTAATGATGATGATAAGTTGAAAACAGTCATTAAAGACGGTTTTTAAGTCACGAAACGTAAAATCAAGTGATTATGATATGTATGAAACTGTCAAGCCTCGTATCGTAGAAGGTCAAGATTCACTTTGGGTCGCCAAGTCAACGGGCTGAGAAAATACTATAGAAATTGGTCGTTATATCTGACTCCGTACTATTATAAGGATTTCTGGAAACTCGAAAAGATTGAAGAAGAGAGATATAAAGAAAATACAGACAAATTAATATAAATACATAACTGGCTGCCGTGCAACGTATCGTGACCATGGGTTCGATTCCCGCACGTAACAATTGTTTGTATGACCCACAAATTGTTGTTCCGGGTCTGATGTGTATGTGAAATTATATGTTTGTACTCACGACACAGGAGACAATCCAAGTGAAACAAAACCTTTTTTATCCCACGAGGCCAGACATAGACATAAATGTCTATAGTTATCGAATAAACATTACAAACTAAACAAGTATTTGATCAAATCAATAAACCCAAATTGAATCCACTAAGTGTCAATTTTGAAGTTGGTAACTTTGAGAAAAAAAAAGTATGACATAAAATGACAACGTGTCTTTGTAAAAATAAATAGTGTTACTGGATATTTTTTATACGTGTTTGGAATAAAAAGTAGATTTTTTGTTATTTGTCATTCTTGCGAAAAATGTACTTTAAAGTCACGTTTATAAGGTCGAAGTTTATTAAGCTGTATAATATAGTTTTTATGCTATAGGGTGTCAAACTAGCAGACGGATTATCTGTTGGTAAGCATTCGGTGCCGCCCATGGAATGAGTTACGATTGCGTTGTCGGCCTTTTGGAGGTTTCGAGGATTTAAGTGTGGGAGAGCCATGCTTCGGCATGATACTACGGCCTCACAGAAAACCGGCGTGAAACAACCACAGCGTTGTGTTTCGCCGTGTGAGTGAGGTTACCGGAGGCCCAATCCTTCCCCTCCCCAACCCCTCCTCAATCCCTAAATCTCTAAATCTCTAATTCCTAAAAGGTCGGCAACGCACTTGTAACTCCTCCTCTGTTACGAGTGCGGGTGTCCATGGGCGGCGCTGATTGCTTTCGATCAGGTAATCGGTCTGCTCGTTTGCCGAAGTATTACATAAAAAATGTTAGGGATGGGGAAGCGGGCGCTTCTCATGCGAGCGATTTCGAAACCTGGCTAGTACCAAAGTAACTTTTTCTAAGTCTTATTAATTCAAAATTTATATGATTATTTAGTCACATTGACTTAAGTTTTAAAACAACCAATCCGCCTTGAGCAAGCGTGGTGATGAATGCTCAGATCATGGTCTTTGCTCGGCAGTGGGCACTTATAGTCTGATGAAGATGATGACGATGATGTGCATTTATACTGACTTATGACTTTTTTTATACTACACTTTGACTGCACGGTTGGCGCGGTGGCTGGGCAACTGGCCGTCGCGCAACGTGTCTCGGGTTCGATTCCCGAACGGAACAACTCTTTGTGTGATTCACAAATTGTTGTTCCAGGTCTAGATGTGATGTGTATATGGAATTATGTTTGTAAACGCACCCACGGCACAGGTGAAAATCTTAGTGTCGGGCAAAAAAATACCTTTGTTAATCAGACTATGTAACAAAACACTCACTAAGTCATAAACAGGGATTTTGTAAAATATACATACATATGTATATATAAAATGTATGTACATTTGTCAACGGTACTAATAATATGTTACACCCACACCCTGTTTCTGTGGAAGCCATTTGCAAAATGATGGTGAATGAGATTTGTCAAGGAATTCGAAGATAAGCCTTCTTGCATACATTACCTATACGTTACATGGCAGGTATTAACGCTATTCACTAAAATTACGCAATATTGTGGAAAATGTTAAGGAAAAATAAGCTCAATGGTCTTAGTTTTTCATTTCCGTCATCAAAAAATATATTTATTACAAAGAAAGACATTATTTCTTGAATAGAGTACGTAACCATGGAGGTTTACTTTTTTTGTCAGGGGAAAATCATCAAATGACTTCTCCCGCCCAGGGTTAGGCGAGAGAGAGTGTCAGACTCTTAGCACCGCAGCCCAGTCACCGTGTCAACTGATAATGATTGTAATAAAACGTTTATTTTCACCACAATATTTTATACAAGTAAACCATATTAAACTGCTAAATCATCATCATCAGCCCATAAGTGCCCGCTGCTGAGCAAAGGCCTCTTCTCACACGGAGAAGGTTAGAGCATTGATCACCACGGTTGCTCAATGCATGTTGGCGATTTCAAACTTATAATTAGAAATTATAAATCCAGGTTTCCTCACTGCTAGCTGCAACTGTTAAGTAGCAGACCAATAGTAATTAATTTTACCACATAAGACTTTTTAGATCACAAGATAATTGATTGATGATTTGCGGCCGTGTCGTGGAAACCACAGACCTGTCAATATCACATACAAAGCAGATAATTGTCATCATAATCATTATAACACATCATTTAATAATTGATTATCCAATTTTAAACATGTCCTGAGCCCATAATAAGGCCCTTTCTCCGTATGAGAAAAGGCCTTTGCTCAGCAGTAAGCACTTATAGGCTGATGATGATGATGATGATTAGCCCATAATAATGTCTTTTACAAGAGAGGCATATTTATTCCCGAACGGGTTGGCTGCACCGGAGTGATACCATGGTGTCACAGAAAAATTGGCGTGACTATCAAAGCGAACACGAAACAATTCTGTTTAGCCGTGTGTATGAAGTTACTGGAGGCGCAAAACTTTGCTCCTTCCCTCGCTTTTCTCCGACCGCTATCCCCAAAAGCTCAGCAGAAGTCTTTTAACTACTCTGTTCCGATTGCTTAGCATCAGGTGCTATGTCTATCGAGCTATCCCATAAAAACACCAACAAGACTATTAATGAGTTCAGTACCTATGGGGAAAATGGTTATTAGAATTTACCGACGACGTGGAAATTCGATTTGTAAAAATGATTTTTTAGTATAAAACAGAAAAGGGTGTAACTGCATATTAAGTAACATTTTTAGAATATTAAAATTATAGGGAAAAGATTCCGAATTTGTAATTCTATTTTTATCAGTGTAATTATGCCTTCTATTTCTTAAAGGAAAGAGGTGCTCGTACCATATGGGTTATCCAGTTTTCATCGGTCATAATATGAGTTACCATTGTAGGTAATCTTATTGGTATTAATCGGATACTTCTAAAGATATTAAGATATTTAAATAAATAAAATATTGTGCTTTTAATAAGACTTAAAAAAACAGAATAAATCCAGTAGCCAACTAGTTCAACCTATATTTTGAAACAATCACACAGCACACAGTTTTTATAACGACCCGACTGACAGAATGTTCTATTTTTTAATTTTCAAAAGTGTATGTGTGTGGTGATTGCAATAAATTGTATTTTGTCTTTGCAGCCAAACTAATCACAGATTAAGTAAATGTATACATTCATTTTAACCGTCTTCAAAAAAGGAGGAGGTTCTCAATTCACCGCGTATTTTTGTTTTATATGAATTGCAATAATTATATTTTCGGTTTTTTAAAGCATCATTTCATGCAGGTCTTATTTAAATAACAACTCAGTGCAACTGTACAATTTAGTAAATTATAAAATGTATTTATAAACCAGTCCGCCATAATTACTGGCTGTTGGCAAATGTGAGTATAATATCGTGTTTTTAGGTGGGAAAACCGACGATTCTTTAAACATTCTAAATTTAAAATTTAAATTAGCTCTGGTTTTTGTATTCAATTAAGTATTTTTAAGATGGTAATGCAGCAATAAAACTAACGATTAAGAAGGAGTGCAGCCACATATTTTACTTTACAAAATAGTTTATATATAAGGTTTTGAAGTCTGAATAGTGTAAATCTTGTATTAGGTTTCGATGGGCTGGCATGATCGTATTGTGACGAAAAGCCCCTAATATAAAGTTAAATGAAAAAAATGTAATTGCTTTTAAATTTGGATAACTTAATCGTATTAATGAAGAAACCAAGAAAACTGCTCTACTAAGTTAATAACCGAACATAAATAAGGAAATTAAGGAAATTGAAGTGTCTAAGCATAGCTTTTTGAAATACGTACAAAGGAAAACAGCACTTAACTATATGTATAGTTAGGTTCAGTTTAACAAATGACGCGTTTAGCCACTAAGCGCTAGTTGTCAGCACTCAGAGGAGTACAACAGACGTTTTAGTTCTATAGTGCTCAGGGCTTTTACACTGCTGATCATCCATTGTGCTATTTTCAAGCAACTTTTTTTCCATTTGTACGTAAAATATTGTTTTTATGGCTTAAAATTTGGATAAACGCTACAAGTAGTATCAATACACAGACATGTTTTATAATTAAATAACATATAATTCCTATAAAAATAAGATATCATGTTCATGTAAATTTAGTTAATTCAAAAACTTTTTTTACTTTATTAGCTTTAAATCATATATATTAGCTTTAGTTTTAAATAATCTGAATCGGTCGTTGACAGCCGTTTCATAGATTTAAATAGTACAGTAATATGCATTTTTTTATCTATATTTATTTAATAGTTTACCTCTGCCACAAAATCTTAAGTGGTACTTTAAGTGGCATTAGAAAGGGTATACAGCATACACAGCACATCTAAGAATCGTATAAAATCCGTATCTGTCAATAAAGTACCACACAAAACATAGCAACATCTTCGATTAACATTTGAATTCTAACTAGAATTCAGAAATAGACATAAATCTCAACTGGCACTAAAAGTACCAATACAGATTCTACTAAAATTTCAATTAACATTTGGATTTCAATGCAAATATTTGCGTTGTAACATGTTCTGCTAAACAAGGGACCATTAATTCTGGTTTGATTTAGATTTGAATTTGTCGTTGAATATTGATTTTGTGACATACCTGTAGCACATTCTGCAAGACATATGACGAGAAGCAACGCGAACACTTTGGTTACGGTGCTGCGTGTCGAGCTGGCTCTGTTCGATCTGCGATCCATTGCGGTACTTTGACTGGTTGATGCTGTAACAAACAGTATAAATAAATATTTGTATTAAGCTTTCACGCGTTTTAGACGTGAATCCACGAGAAATACAATGGATTTTCTATTATGTGTTCTTATTTAGCAACTTGTGTAGGTAATTGTCATTTGTATTTTTATAATGCTTTTTTAATTATCGTTTGTAATGCAAATGGGAAACACCGTTTTAATCAACTAAAAATCGCGGGTTACTCACGTGTGTATATTGAGAAAAGCTCTACTAGTTTCGAACCACAGAGTGGTTCTTCCTCATGAGCAGCGTGCGCGGACGCGGCGACGTCGCGCAGCCTACTTACAATAAGTACACGTACACGTGAGTAACCCGCGATTTTTAGTTAATTTAGTATGTCTCACGATAGTTATAATAAAAACCGTTTTAATCAATTATTTAATTTGGTTCCTAAGTAAAATATTTCTTTTATGTGGAAACTGACTTATGGAGAGTTGTGATTTTTGTGTTTATTACTTTTTAATTAGTACTAACGAATATTAGGTACATATGTAAAATGAATTTTTATTATGTAATATCATAAATTGCTAGGTAAGGGCTAGGTATGTCATAAACGTTACATCTTTCTATTCAAAGTGTGTTATCGAAAAGGTAAATAAATTACCTTTGTTATAGTAACGTTGCATAACGTTTTAGTCAATTTTGATAATATTGAAAAATATATCCATATTAGAAACATACATAATTATATGGATATAACATAGATATAACATCAACGCGTGAGTGAGGTTACCGGAGGCATAATCCCTCCCCCTCCCCTATCCCTTCCCGATCCTTATATCCCCAACTCCTATCCCCAAAAGGACGGCAACGCACTCGTAACTCCTTTGGTGTTGCGGGTGTCCATGGGCGGCGCCGATTGTTTACCATCAGGTAATCCGTCTGCTCGTTTGCCGACATAAACCATAAAAAATACTGCAAAAAGACACGAGGCACTCCACATCCATAAATGCATTAAACAAAATGTAATTAGGACACATGAACTAAGATCCCATTCGTTGTGCAAGGAAAAGCAAATATTTCGTCTTGATGAAATGTCCACATCGAACGCTATGAGCAACGAGCAACTACAACTTAGAATACAATTAGCATATGAACAACTAAACAATGTAGCATTCTTGTTTATAAATTAAACAGCAAATATCAAACAATTTGTATTGTTTTTGTTTGGAAATCAAAACAGGTCTTGTTTGCAGTCTAGACTGAGTTATTTAGTATTGACTTTGTTTAATTAATTCAATTAGTATCTATTGGGAAATATCAATGACTTTTGACTGAAAACGTTGTTTGATTTGTGATTGCATACTATTTCTAATACTCAGTATTCTAATAAAAGATTACCTTTTTTATATTTATAAAAAATGAATCGTAAATGTGTTGGAACTTCTGAACTGAACTGCACATTATTTTTGTTGTAATGAGATGTTTTTTTTTAGAAATTTTTACGTAATAGAGCTTTTGTAAATTGATAAATAATAAACTATTTGGTGTGAACTACTTAATCACCACATAGTATAAAACAAAGTCGCTTTCTCTGTCTCTATGTGTATCCTTATGTATGCTTAAATCTTTAAAACTACGCAACTAATTGTGATGCAGTTTATTATTTAGAGTGATTGAAAAGGAGGAAGGTTTAAATGTACAATAACATCCATTAGATAGTGAAGAAATTAAGTATCGTAAAAGTGCATTACGAAGCGGGGACAGGTAGTTAGTTATTTTATTAATTATAAAGTTAATATTGTAAGCTGATGTGTAAAAGAATTGTAAAATATAACATAATATCACAATTTCCATAATTAAAAATTAAGGCACAATGTCCAATTTCAAAGCGATTTACTCATTCAATATGATGGTCTTGAATGAGTTAATCTCACTCTAGCACCAATGGAAGCTTCAGAGCAGAAATCCACTATACTTGCCGCGCTTTTTAACCGACTTCAAAAAAAGGAGGAGGTTCTCAATTCGATTGTATTTTTTTTTTTTTTTATTTTTTTTTTTATGTTTGTTACCTCAGAACTCCGTCGTTTATGGACGGATTTGCAAAATTTTTTAATTTTTTTTTCTTTGATTGAAAGGATATGCTTCCAGATTGGTCCCATTCTTTTCAAAATTGAGTTTTGATGATGGGATCCATGAGAAATCGAGGGAACTCCTCAAATATTATAGGCAACTATATAGTAATTTTAATATTTTCATAGAGCACTCAAGCATTTACAGTCAAAAATTAATATTTGATGGGGTGGAACTGGTGAAGAAGATCAGAAATGGGTGATGAAACTTGACACTCGCATAGATATCACAATCAAGGTAGTTCAGCAACTATGAAAATGCACTGTAAACCAATGATCTTAAATAATTATGTTGGAAATGTTATCATCGAACTGATTTAATGATGATTATGGAGCTGGAAGGTAGGCACTGGAACTGCGTACCTAATTAATATATCCTAGCCGTGTTTGGGCTTGTTAGAATTGTTATAAGATGCACTTTGGCTGTAAGGTACTATTGAACTGATGTGATGATGAAGCTGGAAGGTTGGCATGGGGCCTAGTATTGTGTAAGCTTATTAGAGCTGTCAAGAGCAATGGAAAGGGCTATGGTCATAGTTTCGTGCATGTTCGAATCAGAAATGAAGAAATCCGCAGAAGAACCAGCGTCACCGACATAGCCCGAAGAAATGCCAAACTTAAGTGACAGTGGGCACGGCACATTGCTCGTAGAACAGATGGCCGATGGGGCCGAAAGGTTCTAGAGCGGGACCGCACACCTTTGGGGGCGGAGTTTGGCCTAGTATTGGCTATTTTGCATTTGTCCACGTGGACTGCGTTTACACATTAGTGGTGAAATGCGTCATTGTGTTCTTATCGTTTTCCTGGTAATAGGCTAAGATAATTCATTGGCATTTTTAACAAAACAGTCGTTTTAAATGGGTTACAAAACAATAATTGCGTCGTACAAAACAATAATTGTGTTTCTTTTGTGTGCACATATGTAGATAATACTTACTTAAAAAAGGTTCATACATTGAATGACTCATAAATGTATATTTACAATAGCGATGGTCTTTTGTATTTTTACCAACTTGTCTATATATGAATGTTCTTAGTAATAACAAAATAGTATTCTTCATTTAATGGGTTACAATTGATACAAAACAATAATTGCATCGGTCTTTTTTCTATGTACGAATGTATTTAATCATAGATACTAAATTAGATTGCATTTGGTATCTTTGAACTTTATCTGTCTGTTGATGAAAATATCTAGTTTTTTGTTATTTGGCGAGAACTAATATGAATTTATGATAAGATTATTATTTTTTTTTTAACTATAAGTCATAAGTATCTCATGCATCATATCATCTCTCCTCGAGATCAAAACGATTACACAGTAACAATGTACTATGATATGTATTTCTACGTATAAGTATGACATTGGTAACTTTTTCAAAAGAAATGTAGGAACGATATTGACTTCTTTGCCATAACACATTATAATAAAAAAAAACACTAAACGGCTACAAATAAAAAAAAATTTTACAAAATAAAAAAACCGCCTTCAAAAAAAGTCAAGCAATAAAAGTTCCTACACTAAAAAGTAAAAAATAACAATTTGAATTACTGTAAAAAAACTTAGTTTATAGGTAAACTTATTTGACATTAATATTTTGCAAATATTCAAAATTTATTACTTATTTTTGGAGTCGGTGCCAGCCCATGCAAGGAAATACAAATGGGCAACAATCCCTTGAAAAACTACCTCTTACTTAATTATAAAACTACTTAATACCTATTTGCATACTCAAATATAGGTATATTAATTAAGACATAAATACAGATTAGACTTCTCTACAAAAAATGTCCGATTTGCACATTTTTTTTAAATAAAAAATATATACTTACAAAAACATTTTAAGTACATTGAAAATGTTTAAGCATTATGTACGAAAAATGGCACCGGATATTAAAAAGCTAACTAACATTAAGTTTCAACATTAAAATGCTGGCACCGACTCCAAAAATAAGTAATAAATTTTGAATATTTGCAAAATATTAATGTCAAATAAGTTTACCTATAAACTAAGTTTTTTTACAGTAATTCAAATTGTTATTTTTTACTTTTTAGTGTAGGAACTTTTATTGCTTGACTTTTTTTGAAGGCGGTTTTTTTATTTTGTAAAATTTTTTTTTGATTACCAGTTATCTGCGTTCTGACAGTTTGAGTACTTGCGCGACCCACCCAAATGTTCTTTTGATCGGTATTGTTCGTTGGACAACTCAGCAGCACTAGCTATACTGGTTGCAAACTGACACTTGCGTGCCTGTCTTCAGAACGGGTCCACTTAAACTGGTGTGGTTCTATCCTCAAAAGACCACTACAGAATGAATTTGCATGGTTCTCTCACATTATGCTAATTTACATCGTCTGGACTTGAAAAGAGACCTGACCTCTGAGTTTGTTTCGGCATTTCTTCTCAGGGTAGTCAGATAGGAAATGCCGGATTCATCTAGTTTTTCACATATAAATTGACGTGTAAAAGTGCCGTTTTATGGCCTATTAGCAAAAATAAATTAATTGTTTCATTAATTGTTTAAAATACATTATTTTTGAGTCAAATATTTAAATACACGTATGTGCATACAAAATCTTGTATTGTCGATTGTTCCTTTTTACTGCTTCAGGCAAACGTTAACGACTATATCCAATGCGAGGTAAGTTGCCAAGTTGAACAATTAGCGGTAAACCTATCTAATTAGTTCAATCTGAACTACTTGCATCTCCTGGCAAGTTGTGCACTGTTATTATTGTAATCTTACTGCGAAGCTGATTAACTTGGAAAACTATGGTATTTAGTTAAAAATATTGCACACAACTTCAAATGTATGATCATTCCAAATTATATAGCCTTCTTTCTCAACCCGTTTCCAACTTATAAGTTCTATCTACCTACGAAAAAATGTTATCTAC